ATGATCACAACCATGTAATAAATTGTTAGTTGAATTCTTTCTATCAATATTGTTATAACATATTTATCAGTATGTTTTGATCATTTGTCTGCCAAATTATTAAAATTATTATTTTTTAAATAAAAACTAATGAATTCTTGATATCGGTTAATTTGGTTTTTATTAAAATAAGTATGTTGTAATTAATATAACGACAATAATACATATAGTTTGAAATAAAATTACGAGTGTCCGGTTCTTTTGTCTCTGACTGTACTCGATGCTACTCGACAAAATCTGGACAATGGGGATCGCGTAGCATAGAGTAGGATAGCGTTGCGTGGCATCGGGCAGATGTGCACGGGGGTAATACAATCTTATGGAAAATTGGACTTTGGATTTGCATCGGGTAGAATCGGGTAGCGGCGCAGTCTTGCATCGGGTAAGTGCGTTCCCCGCTTTACTCATATTACATAACTAACCTGATTGAGCGTCGATGGGGTACTCAATATTTCTTCAGATGAGTATGATATATGAGTGATCGATTGTTCTTGTATTCTTGAAAATCTCTTGTTTTGACGAAAATGATAGATTGTTAACAAATAATTAGTTTGATTGGTTGTCAGTAAAACATAAATAAGCAATAAATAACTGAAGGCACGGATGGCAAGAAGGTAGTTAAGAATGGGTTTTGTTACTACGGTTGAAATAAAAAGGCAAATTATGTTATGTTATGGCCTTAAAGGAAAAAATATGAGGGATCTTGTGTATATGCCATAACGCTAATCATTATTTTGCCCCTTTTGCCAAACGGCGCGGTCTTCTCGGCCGCGTTTACATTATCTCAGCATGTTTTTTTGTTTATTTCACGTGTTTTTCTTTATATTTTGCTCTAATGCAGTGCTTTTGTCGGTTTTCTCCTTCCAATGGGTCGACGTTGTGATAACACAATTTTCCCCATTCGGCCTTCTTTCATCTTCCGGCGCCGTCACGTCGAATTTATAACTCTGCATAAACACAAGAAAAAATACGTACGATATACATAAATATTTACAAAGGTTACAACGACGCTCATAACAACAGACAGGAAGGGGTTTGAGCGACACCCGAAAAACAAGATCCCGGGGTGAAAGAACCAACGGAAAATTTCATTTCGTTTACATACATATTACAGTTCCTTATTTAAATACAAGATGTATCCTTTTTTTAATAAAATCTATTCGCGATTATCATTTATAAAGTATTGTTATTTGCAATACAACGGGAGAATTTTAATTTTTGAATTATTTACAGACAGATTAAAAAATATCAAATTGTGTTTTTTTATGAATTTTTTTCCATAGTTGCAAACCGAAGAAAATCTAACTTTTTCTGACACGTTCTCTTCAAAGGTAACTTTTCTGAAGCAACACATTAATCATATATTTGAATAATCATATAAATTCTCTAAATTCGTGGTCCGCTTGACCAAGTAATATATTTCAATTAATTACGGTTTTTAGTTGAGATAAAAAAGTCAATGGCACGAGCGGGATTCGAACCCACGATCTTCGGCTTGATACGCCGCTGCTCTACCACTTGAGCTATCGGACACTAACTTCCAAATCTCAAGTGGTAGAGCAGCGGCGTATCTAGCCGAAGATCGTGGGTTCGAATCCCGCTCGTGCCATTGACTTTTTTATCTCGACTAAAAACCTTAATTAATTGTAATTAATCATATATTTCTGCAGTTGAGGACTAGAAACACGTAGGAATATTTTGTTTATTTATTTAAATTTAAACAATGCTTGTAAATCCCAGGCCCTGAAGATGATCTCAATAAAGATCGAAACGTTGGCACGATAAAGAAAATGTTTTTCTGCAACCTACATCACACCAGACCGCATCTCACGATTTCTGAATAATCATTTATTTATTTATTTTTCACCGGCTGCCGACATTTGAGAGAAGACATATTTGTAAGCATGTCGATTCGAACTTATTCAGAACTTATTCACCTTTATCATACCGTGATGTGTCTCAGTTGCGGCCATCGATCATTTTGTCATTACAACAATTACTAATGTTAATATGGTTTAAACTTTTTTATATATTTTTATTGCCACATTCTGCGCTTAGCGCAATTAGAAGCATTAATGGCAAAGAGCACCATTAACATATATGAATCGAGTAGCTATCCAGTGATTTTTGTGTTCCATTTTAAGTCGATTGGACTTAAACCCTTTATCATTTAAATTTTCATCTGTTGTGTTCAATCTACTAATGAATTCCTAGGAAATTTTCGTTTATGTAATGAAGTTCAGAACTCTCAGGGGAATGGTATCTAATTACACAGGAACACAGGCTATTCTAGGTATCATAGCCTTTTTAGGGCAGTGGCCTAGGTAGTGTTGTCTCTGTCTTATAGATACGCATCGATAGAAAAACATCGATGGTCATATCAGTTAAGTATCTGAACCTCACCATCGATGTTTTTGAGTACTCATTACTCAAACCACTTAATTATTTGCACATGCATAAATTATTTTTATGTGTCACTTTAGAAATAGAATCTAATTTTTGAAAATTCACCATTTCTGACGCTTTATTTGGAACTTTATTAATGGTTTATTATCTTAATTACATTTATCAGGAATTAATTTTTTCTCGCCTCTGGTTCTATTTATAGTTATATAAATATAGATCTCTCGGTTCAAAAATATGTCTTAAAAATATGGTTTGTTTTTAATGAAAGGCTACTATTGATAAAGTATTTTGTATCTGTGAATTTTTGCCCACAATCGATGGACAAAAATTATTTACACAAGTAATATCAATGTTGCAAACATCGAACATTGGTTGCCCAATATCGATGCTCATCCCTACTCTGTTACTACTTGACATAGTCGACATTGGTCATCTGTTGAGATGGTAGTTCCCAAGTGATGTTTTACTGGTGAGTCCTCCTAGCTCCTCTCATTGGGTTTTTTTGCGACGAGGCTTTTTGCTTGCCTCATGCCTGCTAAACGTTTTTAGTATTTGTTGTGTTCTTTTTTTACCCAAGATTCGAGTTCTTTTTCTAATGTAGCTACAGTTTATGTTTATGTGAACCTATTTATTGTTCGGAGGCTCCTATTTTAGCTTGTATGTCTGTTGCTCCGACTTGTATAGATAATATTTTCTACACTATCTGCACTTAGAGCAATTACCTATAACCTTAATAACAACACTACTAAGATTACATGAGTCGAAAAGTTATCCAATGATAGCACTAGTTTTAACAATAAAATCTTTTATTCGCTGTTGTCTTTCGAGACGTCTGGAGGTATTGTTTGGATGTGTGGATGACATCAATGATATCCAGGCATCTAGCAAAGCACACGAGCAGCACTCCTCAAGAGAAGATATTGGGCTGGTGCAAAAATAATGCAGATTTTGTAAAACCAGTCGAAACTATTTTTAATTTTTATATAATAAAGAAAATTTATTTCAACACAATCTATACATCTTTGCCAACGTGTAATAAGGTGCTTTTATTCCCCAGACATAAAAATCTTTAATTCGAAGGAGTTTTCGGCTTCACAGCGTTCTCTCAAAATTTTTCCCTCAAGAAGTGATTAAAATACCTAAAAAAAAGCTGAAGTCTATAGGCGGAGGTCGGATGAATATGGATGATGCGATAAGTCCTAAGTCCGCAGGGTTGGCATTGCGACATATGGCCTGGCGTTATCGTGAAGAAGAATCGGCCTCTTACCGTTTTCCAATGCTGGACAAAGACGTTGCAGTTTTCCCAGCATTTTGTTAATTTCTTGGCAGTTGTGATAGTTTCACCATAATTCAGGAAATTATAGTGAACAACCCAGTACACTACCAAACATTCACCAAAGCCATTTTTGGGTGCAGATTTGGTTTCAAGAAGTTTATTGGCACTTCATCCTTGTCCAACCACTGACCAGTACGCCTCCTGTTATCGTACAATCGCTATGATTCGATTGAGAAATGCATCGTTGTAGTGGCGCAACAGAAGAGTCGAATTCTTTTGGCTTCGGTTAGTTTGTGCAGTACCACTTGTCGAGCTTCTTTCCTTTCTGCACCAGTTTGCTCCATATGGCGAACAACGGTTGAGTGGTCAACACTAAGTTCCTCCGCAAATTCCCGTGTTTTCTTTCTTGAATTTTCTTCAATCAACGTTTTGAGTTGGTCGTCGTCCACAACGGAAGGCCTACCGAGATCGAAATCTCCAAGAAGACATCTCTGAAACCATCGCTGCACCGTGCATTCCCTAATGCTTCCCTCCTTCCAAACTATATTGGTGTTACGCGTTTTGGGCCGCACTTCGCCCAAGTTTAAATCCGTACAAATAAATTTGACGAAAATCTATTTTGGACATATTTAATTTCGCAGGTCCTCACTCTTATAAAATTCAAAATAAACTAAAATGTTTTTTATAAAAGATAACAGGTAAAAGTGTTTATTATAATCCATAAATTAGATTTGAGGATTTCTGTTTATATGACAAACACCTGCGAAAATAAAACCAATTTTCAAAACCTGCATTAATTTTACACCAACCCAATACAATAGTATCCACCACATTAAGGCATTTTTGTATATATAACATTTTATATTAAATAAATCACGATTTTAGTAGTTTTTTTTATAATTATTGCTGTTAGTTCTCAGATGCATTTGTTTTTCTTAATTGTTATTTTTACTGGTGGCTCTTGAGAGAAGGCAGCGGTTTCCGTTAGTTTCTATGATTAATAAAACCTAAATCGATACGTAAGAGTCCACGTTGATCGCGGGGATGTTAGCCACCCCTTTCGGTTTCAACCCTCTCCGAACATCGGAGCTCATCCTGAGCCGATCTGGGCAATTAATTTTCCCCTTTGCTACTCCCCGCTCGAGGGAAAAGCAGCGTGGGGCGGGGCGCGGTTAGGCGAGCCGTGGAGGGAGCCACGCCAGATAAACTCAACCGGTCAGTCTTTTACTGTCAGTCCTGCAAGGGATATCACACGCTTTTGCACCATACGTGATATTAAATCACGCTTTTCCATCCAACATCCAACAATCGCACACACTCTTACGGTAACTTATATTAAAACGTGAGCGGACTTCCACCTCATCCCATTTCTGATACATTCAATAAACTTAGTTTCTTACTCCAGTGAGAAGAGCTATTATTCTTATATGTATATATAACTTTAATCTCGGATATGTGTTTTCTCATCATAAATAGTCAATTGGCAACTAGTAAACATTGAACAAATATTCATTAGAGTTCGTGGTCCGATTGACCGAATAACATTTTTCAATTAATTAATCTTTATGTAAGGTATGGGTTGAGATAAAAAAAATCAGTGTCACGAGCGGTATTCGAACCCACGACCCTCGGCTAAATACGCCGGTGCTCTACCACTTGAGCTGTCATGACACTGACGTTTTTATTTCAACCAATACCTTACATAAAGATTAATTAATTGAACAAAAAGTTATTACATTGGCAATTATAACGATACAGGGTAGTCAGCTCGTGTTAAAATTTTTTCCGGCAACAGTGCATCTAAATTGGCGTAGACTGCCATAAACCTTATAATTATATCTCAATCCGTTCAAAAGTTAGGATTTTTTTGTATATACTTAAGAAAAACACGTTTTTTGACTTAAAACCTGAATTTTCTCCACTCTAACCTAACCTTTCCCAACTTTTGTGTTTATAAACCCCATTTTTTTTTGGTTTAGTACATATTTCCTTTTAGATTAGTGCGCTTTTGTTCTAAAAATTGCCAGTCTACTTAGAAAGCAACTGTACAAACATTTTCAAGAAATCGGTAACAGGGCACCTAAAATGGAGTAGAGTGTCGTAAACCTTATGGTTTATCTCATCCTGTTCAAAAGTTACGATTTTTTTAGTGTATGCTTTAGAAAACGTCTAATGTAACTTTTTCCCTACTTTTGTGTTGACAAAACCCCATTTTTTGATTTAGTACCGAATTTCCTTTTAGAATGGTGCACTTTGTTCTAAAAATTGCCAGTCTACTTAGAAAGCAACTGTACAAACATTTTCAAGAAATCGGTAACAGGGCACCTAAAATGGAGTAGAATGTCGTAAACCTTATGGTTTATCTCATCCTGTTCAAAAGTTGCGATTTTTTAGTGTATACTTTAGAAAACGTCTAACGTAACTTTATCCCTGTTTTTGTGTTGACAATACCCCATTTTTTTATTTCGTACCAAATTTTCTTTTAAATTAGTGCGCTTTTATTCTAAAAATTGCCATTCTACTTAGAAAATAACCGCACAAACCTTTAAAAAAAATCGGTAACAGTGCATCTAAAGTGGAGTAGAGCGCAGTAAATCTTATGGTTTTATCTCAATCCATTCAAAAGTTACGATTTTTTTAGTGTATATTTTAGAAAACGGGTAACGTAACTTTTTCCCTACTTTTGTGTTTACAAAACCCCAGTTTTTGTTTTAGTACCATATTTCCTTTTAGATTAATGCGCTTTTGTTCTAAAAATTGCCAGTCTACTTACAAAATAACTGCACAAAGATCAGGCAATTTGGGCAGTGGTAATTTTGGATCAACTACTTTAAACCTCGCTTCCTTACATTACATTTTTAAAAATGTTCAACCAGCTAAAAACTTCAACATTTTATGAGCTTTTCAATATGGATTATTTTGATTTTTTAATGGGCAATTTCAGTTTGAAATTGGGAAAACGTGATCTGGGACGTATCCTGGGAATTAAATGCATGGCCCAAGTTTATCTCTCTTTCTTTCTCTCTCTCCTCTCCCTCTCTTTCTCTCTCTCTCTCTCTCTCTCTCCTCTCTCTCTCTCTCTTTCTCTCTCTCTCTCCTCTCTCTCTCTCTCTTCTCTCTCTCTCTCTCTCTATCTGTCTATCTATCTATCTCTTTCTCTCTCTCTCTCTATCTGTCTATCTCTTTCTCTCTCTCTTTCAATCTATCTATCTATCAGAGTAACTAGCTTTTATTTAGCACACTGACTCTCTCTCTCTCTCTCTCTCTCTCTCTCTCTCTCTCTCTCTNCTCCCTCCCTCCCTCTCTCCCTCCCTCCCGTCCTTCCTCACTCCCTCTCTCTCTTACTCTTCTTTCTCTACTTTTTTCTCTTCTCATTTCTCTTTCTTTCCTTTTCTTCCTTCCTCCTTTTTCCTTTCTCTTCCTTCTTCCTTTTCCCTTTCTCTTTCTCCCTATCTATTCCTCAATCTCTCTCTCCCTCTCCAGTTAATGTGTACGGGTACCCCTTCTGTGTCTTTACAGAATCTGCAAATTGTACTTTTTTTTTTAAATCTAGCAGCGAAATCGTTTCGGTGTGATTACCATTGCTTAATTCCTGTATTTATTATATTTTGTTTAACAAAACTCTGATAGCTCCTTTTAGTATCTCGTCAATGGCGTCAGTGTCCTGGGCACTCAGGGAGGGTGGTAGATTTGAACTCTCAAGAATTTTGGTATTGCCTATCAGATATTATTTGTGATGATATAATTCAATGCCCTGACGTATATAACGTATATCTCTTTACCTTTATACCGTATGTTACCATTGTATTTAATACATTGCGTGAAACTTTGCTTGAAATATATCCGTGTACGTACTCATGGGGGTCTAAATATTTGGTTTTCATATCACATATTGTCCCTGAACCTTCCTGTGTTCTGGATCTGCCGAGGTTTTGAAAATTAAAAACACCCCTTAAAAAAAGGTGAATTTCTTTTCATTGAAAGCCTAAGTAAAATGTTAATGTTGATCACAACTTGTTATCTCAAGCAGGCAGACTTGTTCAACACAGCCTACAGATGATAAAAGCCGATTGATGATATTTTGACATCGGAAAACTTCCATAATGGGTTTCTAGTCTGGGCCCATTCAGACCAGTGGGGGCAGATGAATTGCGGACAGATGAATAGGCATGAGTCATTTCAGAGATCATCAAACCGTAGAGACACAAATTGTCATTTATCCCTTTGGCTGGCGTGAAATTCAAACGAATATATTTTTTTAAATTTATCATATATTCTGAACCGGTGGTGCTTTCCTTTCGGAATATTGTTGCCTGCAAACGCGGAATAATATTATAATAAAAAAAGACTTATTACAACAAAAATTAGCGACCAAGACCCCAAACTATTTTTAATATAGAAAAACAGCCGATTGTCACGACTGTCGACAGGAGTAAATGTGACTTGAAGGCTGTTAAGAAAAAGCCGATATTTTGTTTTAAAAAGTTTCGAGCGTCTGGGTGTGTCATAAATCTTGGAACGGTAGCACAGCCGAAAAGTTTGTCCGATTTTTCCGGTCCGCGGTTGTGTTCTCGCTATATGTCACAATTATTTCGTAACTGCTGTGAAATTTGAAAAACAAATCTATCCAAAATCGTATTTGAAAAAACACCAATTCTAACATTCTGTTTAAAACGAGCAAATATAAACAAAAATACCTTTTAACAAGGTGGGCATTTTCGAGTCTTGAGAATTTTTTTGCAGGATAGACCCACTAACACTCTTTTACAAAACAATAAAATATAAGAAAAAGTAGAAAGTAACACTGATTCTGATAATTCTGAAAAAACGGGGGGAAAAGGGAAGGAAAAATAGCAAAAAATGGAAAACCCATTTCGAAAATTTAGATCTACGAAGAAATAAAAAAACAGCTGCATTGACAATAAACAGTAAATCAGTGAATAACAGCAATTCTTATAAGTGAATTTTCAACAAATCCTGGGTAAAAGATTGTCAAACCTTTTCTCGAAGAAAAGGTCTATCAAAAAAAGGAAAAACAAGAACATTGACAAACAAATCAGAGAATAACACGGATCCTTACAAGTTCTTTTTTAAAAACAATTCATTAGTAGGAAAGAATAGACCTATTAAGGAAGAAAAAACCGATACATTGAAAAAAAAAACGCAGAGAATACTGATTTTTGCAAGTATGTAAATGGTCAAGAAACAGTTACCAGTCCGCAAAAATATATTTATATAAGTTATAAAATTGACTTGAGATTTATTTACTATATATTATTAAAGTTTACAATTAACACATAAAAGTGAATAACAATGAATTAAGGTGTTTTTAATTGAGATAAAAAAAGTCAATGGCACGAGCGGGATTCGAACCCACGATCTTCGGGCTAGATACGCCGCTGCTGTACCACTTGAGCTATCGTGACCTCGATCCACTCGGACACCAACTTCCCATCTCAACCCCACCTTTTGAGTTCAGTTGAGATGGGAAGTTGGTGTCCGAGTGGATCGAGGTCACGATAGCTCAAGTGGTAGAGCAGCGGCGTATCAAGCCGAAGATCGTGGGTTCGAATCCCGCTCGCGCCATTGACTTTTTTATCTCAATTAAAAACCTTAATTAATTGTAATACATTAATTGGTCTAGCGGACCACGAAATTAGTGAATTTAAAGTGAATAGCTTATAAATAGCTTGTAAAATAAAATTAGGACGAGGTCGTGATTAAGTGATTATGTCCGAGTCTGAGTCCGTGTATGAGTCTATCTTGAAAAATGGTGGGAGAGGGTCTAATATAGCCTCGGTAGAGTTGCTGAGTCTGTAGGATCTATTATGATAACAGAAGCAGCCGTTGCGGATGTAACTCCTCCACCTCTAGTTGGGGAATTTCCCTGGAAATTCTTGAATTTGGCGGATTTCATCATCGGGTAGCCGGTGAAGTCTGTTGTCATCTTCTGGAATCGTGTCCAAGCCATGGTGGTGATTAAACTCACTGCGATGATCAACGATGATTGCCAGATTGCTGGAATTCATTGCAGTTAAGAAAACGTTGTTTTTACGATCCACGATGACTTTGGATAGTGTGTTTTGCAGACTTAAGTCCTGAATATGTACTTCGAACTTTGACACCTGAGTGAGGTGGAAATTTAAATCAACGTTTGCCAAGATATTTGGTTGCCCGGAGGATCTAGACTCGTGTTTCAGGTGTTTTCATCGATATATCATTTGACTGTTGTTTGGATTGATGAGGAAGACTTCTTGTAGTAGTTATCCTCGGCGATGTCCTGGTCAATGATTTTTAGACGTTCTCCTGTGGGGAAAGTTGCCAGATACTGGTTGATTTGTGGTATCCATTCCAAGTGGTTGTCAGATATGTCCACAGTTGTGTAGCTTTAAAGTTTTGTACTTCCATTTTCTAGCAGGTTCAATTCACATTGAGCGTTTGTGTAAGTTATTTAATCAGAAGAGCAAAAGTGCATATACATATTTTTGCGGACTGGTAACTGATTCTCACAAGTAAATTTTCGACAAACACGTCTTTTTACGCGACAAAACAATTATGAACGAAAATCCATTTCAAAAAGGATAGATCTACAAAGTAACGAAAAAATGAAAATTTGAAAACAATTTAACGAAAAAGTAGTTATTTGTTAATCTTTTTATGTAAGATTTTGGTCGAAATGAAAAGTTAGCGTCACGAGCGGGATTCGAACCCATGACAATTTCCTTTCCTCCACGACCTTTTTATTTCCACCAAAACCTTACATAAAAAGATTAATTAATTAAAAGTAGTAATTTGGCCAATAGATCACTAAATATAATGGATTTAATAAATAAAATGAAGTATAACTTCACTAACAGCTCTCCGCGACCACTTCATATGTCGCCGAGAATCGAATCCTGATTACACGACATTTGAAAAATGACAAAAAGGAGAGAAAATTCGAAAAGTAGGTTGAGATGGGGAGTTGGTGTCCGGGTGGATCGAAGTCACGATGGTACCAAGTGGTTAGAGGAGCGGCGTATTAAGCCGAAGATCGTGGGTTCGAATCCCGCTCGTGACGCTTTTTCATTTCGCCCAAAACCTTACATAAAAAGATTAATTAATTGAAAGTAGTAATTTGGCCAATAGACCACTAAATATAATGGATGATTCGTGAAGAAAAAGTAGAAAATAACATTGATTCTCACAAGTAAATTTTCGACATACAGTTATTTCTGCGAGAGGAAAACCTTTAGAATAAGTTTCAATCAATTAATCTTTATGTATGGTTGAGATAAAACACTCAATGTCACGAGCGGGATTCGAACCCATGACCTTCGGCTAAGGTGTTGCTTGGTCAATCGGACCACGAAATCTAATGGCTTTAGAATAAGGAAGGAAAAACATCTTGATTTTCAAAATAATGAGAGAATAACAGATTTAAAAGAAATTCCAAAGAAACGTTCATTAACACGAAAGAAAAATTAAGATCTCGAAAAAACGGTTCTGGGTTCGAATCCCGACCTAACCCTTGGAATTTTATTTGATATTATGTGTAAAAAGTATTGTCAGATGGTTCTGACCCCTCGCCCGCGACACTCAACGGATAGTATGATAGGAATTAATTTACTTTATTGTAATTTAAAATGTAATTGTAAAAATTGTATTCGTAATACACAATTTAATAATGTCAACATATCCATTTTGTTATCTTTTTTTAAACATAAATTGCAAATCATAATGATACTTTGGTATTGTAATTTGCATGTAATGATACCAGATATCCTACGATAATAATTATTAAGTGAACTTAAGTGAAGTTTACCTTGCTCAATTTAAAATCTGAATTCATCAATAATTTTAGAAAATTAATAAATTCAGTGTAAGATTAGAACAATAAGACCAGTGAATAATTCAACCCTTGATTACATTTTCATGTTTAAGAAGATAAATTTCGGTATTGTTGTTTCCTTTGCCAGACATAATTAAAGCTCAGCTACCAAACCAAATTTCATATTTAATTAAATTAAAAAGACCGGGACTGTGTGCTTTTGTGTTTAGACCGATCGTAAATTTCATTGAACATCCGTAAGCGCCAGGGCCGAGGGGTGCCAAATTCTTAGTTGTTTGTTTTTTAAGAAATTCTCGGTTTGTATCGTTGCCAAGGCGTTGGTTCTTTTTTCGTACAGGTCCGTTTCCAAATGGCTGTAATTCGACAATCCGAGTTAACATTAATAAAAGGCCACACTCCTGCCCGATACGTCCAAATTCGTCCATTCGATACAATTTACATAATTGAAATGGTCCGTTTCCTTTCTGACACGTTCTGCGAGCTTGGCTATCATTAAGCCTATTTTAACTTTTTATAGGCATTAAGCAATACTAATCGTCTTTTGCCATCTAAACATGAATATGTCGATATATTTTTATTACATTAAATCATTGAAATTTTTTATAAGAATATTTACGAAATGTTCTTCAAACTGCTCTGAAGAACGAAAAATTTTGATTGTTAGAAAATTGATTCGTTATGGCCAGTTATGTCAGTTGATCGACTTAACTTTATTGCCGTAAATAATTTATAATGGCCTAGTTCCTAAAATGCTTTCGATTCCTAAACTGAGAAAAATTTGAAATCTCTACTCCAAATTGGAACTGAAAAATTTCTATTAACGATCAGCTCAAGTCTCATCGCTTTTGTTTGTGACAACGTTCAGCTAGGCTTAAAATTTTGAGTTTCTCTTATTTTTAACAGGAAACCTTCTTTCCCCTTCCCTAGTTGTGTAAGCTGTTGTTGGGTAATTCGAGTTGAAAGGGATCAAGAACCGGTTTGTATATTGTAACTCCAATGTCGATCCGTTCTGTCTGCTATCACAACCCGATGCCATCTGCACGGCGGATGTCCTTCGCACAAACAAAATGGCATTATAACGCTGTACTAGTTAGTTGAACTTATTTATGTTACAGAGATTTAAAAGGTTTTATTTCGTAACCTGGGGAACAAATGAGGAATTCTCTGAATAAAAATGAGTATTTGAAAAACACGTAGTGTTTATTTAGTTCCTTTCCCTTTCAGGAATGTTGTAGATAAATTTGCCATCGATATGACAGATGCAATTTAAACTAAACTTGTTTTCGCAATGTGAAAACGTTATGTTAACAAAGTTAAAACAGTTTTTGTGGTTGAATCGAATCCTAGTGAATGACTTGCGTAGATTCCGCCCTCAGAAGTTATGAATGGTGTGCGTTTGGCTTCCCTTTGATCCATGGCGATTTTCATTTGTTATAAAGAATCCACTTTTCACTCTCTTTGGCTAACATATTATTGCGTTTCTTTATAAAAAACGAACGATGTTTCCTGCGAATTAAATTGAAAAAATGAAAATTATGAGGCAATCTCACTAAATCTTCTCCCTTGCCACAGAATAGCTCCATTATTAAAACATTTCTTGATCTAAGTACAACAAAGTACAAATTAACAAAACGACATCGTATTTAGTCGAACGCTTGTTCGTTGTAGCACATTTTCAACTAAATTTTGCGCGTCAATAACAAAATTGTGGTGTATAAACGAAATTAATTTCATCAAATCTTCACGGCGTGCCACAGAATGGTTTCGTTATTGGCGAAATCATTTGTCGATCTAAATATCAAAAAAAGTAGAAATGAGCAAAATTTTTTTCGTATTTACTAAAACAAGCGTACATTGTACCAAGTGTAGAAAAGAATTCGTAATGGGCGACGAAGGTTCAACAAATTTTGACGCGTCATTAACGAAATTATGAGGTAATAATGCCAAACCTTTTTATAAACTTAAAAAATAAGTTCTTTCAATTAATTAATCTTTATGTAATGTTTTGGTTGAAATGAAAAATTTAGTGTCACGAGCGGGATTCGAACCCACGACTCAATACGCCGCTGCTCTAACCACTTGAGCTATCGTGACACTCCAGTGGTTAAAGCAGCGGCGATTGAGCCGAGGGTCGTGGGTTCGAATCCCGCTCGTGACACTGACTTTTTCATTTCAACCAATACTTTACATAAAGATTAATTAATTAAAAGAAGTTATTTGGTCAATTGGACCTTGAAATATAATGGGTTTAATAAAAAATAAACTAAAATACTTATCATCTATAGTTTCATCTATTCATGGTTCACGATTTTTTTTCGCCTAAACCTAATATTAAAAAAGCTAAAAGAAAAAGAAAAATCTTGTTGATTGAAACTTTTAATTTTCATGAACGTGTCACACCTTAGCTGAAGGGAACAAAATTATGCCGGTTCAGCAACGATTATGTGTGGCAAATAAGACGGACATGGCAAATACATCCACAGTCCACGAGATTTTTTTTTACACATTCAATAGTAAATTGGAAATATATTTGTAAATATGACCAGCGGTAAAAAAATATAGCACTAAATTTGCGCGTAGTACCTTTAACACATCTGGTGGTATATCAAAAACACTTTCTTCCTTTTATTACACATCTCAAGATAATAAACATACCTGTAATTTTGTTTTAGAGAAAATTTACGTTGTTGAGGTTTCGTTAGAGTGGTTTTGACCTTGTTTGTTTGACTCACGTTCCGTTGTTGGGCACGGTAGCATTTTTGTTGACTCACAGACTTGGTCCTCAGTACACGGTGATCCTTTACGCTACGGTCAGTAATTATGACTCAAGCCAGTGTACCACATATTCACCATTCATTTTTTTTCTTTCCTCCCCTCGTTGTCCCCTTTTTAACATTGTTTTTTTCGTTTTAGAGGCAGTCCACGCAAACGAAATCCGTCGAGTGAACACACATTCGCCATCACATGATAGAGGTAAAAGATACTTCGTCACCATAGTTATTTTCACGTTATTTTAGATGGATTATCTCGAGCTTTTTGTAACTTACTATGTTTACGTCCTCTTCTTTACATGGGTTGTTAAATTTCTACAAAATGTGTTGTGTTTAGTGACCGTTAGTCAGTGATTATTTGGAGATCGTGAAATGCAGTCTGGTGTGAGGTAGGTTTTAGAAAAATATTTTCTTTATCGTGCCAACGTTTCGATCTTTATTGAGATCATCTTCAGGGCCTGGGATTTATAAACATTGTTCAAATTTTACAAATACATGTGGGGTCTGAAAAAAATGAATTTATACAATGCCAAAAAATTTTAAATAAAAAAAATGAATTTGTACAATGCCAAAAAATTTTAAATAAAAAAATGAATTTATACAATGCCAAAAAATTTTAAATAAAAAAAATGAATTTATACAATGCCAAAAAATTTTAAATAAAAAAATGAATTTATACAATGCCAAAAAATTTTAAATAAAAAAAATGAATTTATACAATGCCAAAAAATTTTAAATAAAAAAATGAATTTATACAATGCCAAAAAATTTTAAATAAAAAAAATGAATTTATACAATGCCAAAAAATTTTAAATAAAAAAATGAATTTATACAATGCCAAAAAATTTTAANGATTTTCCGACGCCAGGACGTGATATCTTTCAAAATCGATAAAAAGCGAAATTACTCTGAAATGGTTGAGAATCGGACCATGGACAATATGAACTTTTTTGTTCATTTTAGGGTGAAGAATCTACTGGAGAAGTTTGTAGCACGAGTAGCAATTCACCCTGTATAATGATAGATAATTTTAGATTAAAAAAAAATGAATTTTTACGATGCTAAAAATTTTAGATAAAAAATGAATTTATACAATGCTAGAAAATTTTGGATTAAAAAAATGTTTTATACAATGATAGAAAATTTTATATTTTAAAAAATGAATTTACAATGCTAAAATTTTTAGATTTGTGCGTGTGTGTGTGTGTGAGAGAGAGAGAGAGAGAGAGAGAGAGAGAGAGAGAGAGAGAGAGAGAGAGAAATCGGCTTCTTTTTTTATAAAATTTTCTTGCGTTGTATAAATTCATTTTTTTATTTAATTTTTTTAATCTAAAATTTTCTAGCATTGTATAAATTCATTTTTTATTTAATTTTTTTGAATCTAAAATTTTCTAGCATTGTATAAATTCATTTTTTTAATCCAAAATTTTCTAGCATTGTATAAATTCATTTTTTCACATCCTACATGTATTTGTAAAATTTAAACAATGTTTATAAATCCCAGGCCCTGAAGATGATCTCAATAAAGATCGAAACGTTGGCACGATAAAGAAAACGTTTTTGTATTAGTTTGTGTGTACGTATTTGTTTTTCTAAAACCTACGTCACACCAGACCGCATCTCACGATCTCCGAATAATTTCTACAAAATTAATAAAAAGATGTTTGTTATCGTTGTGATAGCAGTTATAGTAAATGCAGGCGCACTGCAATAAATAATTTTGACTCGTTGGCTGAATTAAATTAAACCAGAGATTTAACCGAGCCCGAAATTGCGTACACGATTCTTCGAAAGCTATATTAAACAGAGTCGAGCCGGGAAATGTAATGCATAGTAACTGTTTTCCGACACGTTGTCAGTAAACAAAACCGGAGGATTTTGTATGATGAGTAGCATGATATATATTTATGAGTTAGACCGTGTAATTAGATTACTTTTTTTATTCAGTATCACTTAACTTAGATATTGTTAACCATGTAGTTTTTAATATTATTTTTTAAAAAATTCATATTTTAAAATACAAGGTAAATCTTACAGGAATTGGGTGTTCTTGTGAAGGCTGTTCTTAAGCATCGCTGTTTTTAAAAAAATTTTTTCCTTTTTTTATTGCAAAACATGGATATGAGAATAGTAAGAATATCAAAGCATATTTCAAAATGTACTTAATTCCTCCAAAGCCCCTATTCAATTCAATACAAAGTATAGGTCTGTTTTTCAGATCGAAACCTTTATACAAAATTACATGGATGGATTTTTATTTATTACTCACAAGTAACAGTTATACATAAAAAAACGTTATTCAAGAAGACTGTTACACCCAAAATTACTTCGGGTCAGAGCAAAATTTATCCCGATAGCTCGTCGGGGGGTAAGACTGAGGGACAATTTACAAAATAAAAAAATAATAAAAAAATAAAAGAAATATTAAAGACCAAAGAAATATATTGGTGAGTTGGGCGCCACTCCATTTTATGCGTCCAGAGTAATAGGGAATTCTTCTAACTAAAAGTATATTCTTGTTTATACTCCAAATAAATTTGATATAAATAAATAAATATATGAGAGGAAAGTAGTATAATATTTTCTATAAAAAAATAAATGATTTACTTTATTCCATGGCAGACACTCGCCATGGGGGGGGGGCACTCCAGGCTAGGCCACTAGGCTTGGGCCAGGATAAAGCCAGCCTAACACGGCGGGTCCTGATCAGCAACCTTACCTTCTCCTTATCGCATTCTAGTTCCCTCTGCTTAAATGATTACTTATGTATTTACGAGGTACCTGGCCATGCAAAATAATCAAGCCAAACAAAAAAAGTAGATTAATAAGGAAGGAGAGAAAAAATAAATAAAAATGAGAATCCACTTAACAATGGGGGGGATTTATTATTCCTAAACAGATTAAATTAAAATAGGTACTTTGTTTCCTTAATCAGCTATAAAATAAACCATAAACCAGATCTGGACTAACTTAAAAAAATTAAAACTTAATAACCTAAATTAACAATAATAAATCATTAAAATTAAAACAAACAAAAATTCCTTCTTCATGCAGTTTTTTCCGTAAACCAACACTTTTACTTGGGAATCGTTGATCCAGCCACAACCATCCGCCGAGTCCTCCTGGGTTCCAGTCCTGCCGAAATCCGCTCCAAAAAAAGAGAAAATCTCCGGAGAATCGGGGCCGCCTCTATATCCTTTCAGAAAACCACGAACGGACAGTCCTCGCTCGTCGCCGTGGTCTGGTGAGGAAGGCGCCCGGTAGAAATTCCAAAAATGGAAATACCCACGAAGAAAAATCCGGACGAGCAGTTTTCCGGAGAATCTCTATCAGTTGCCAACTCGTAGGTGTTTACCGCACTGTTCTCCTCGGCGACCTCTGGCTCGGTCCAAGCGATCGCGTTATCGCTTAATCCCCGGCACTAAATACACTTAATAATAACACTCATTGTTGATTTTCACCAATTTCCTACGTACACTGGTTATTTTCAATTAATAAAAATTTATCCATCTTATAACTTGGTTACATACTTCCTTACAAGCTGATCGAGGCGAGAAAATAAAAATTTGATTTTGAGGCAAAAAAAACCTCTTTCCTCTCTTACAATAATATTAATATTATAAAAACCTATTTTTTTTTGTCACAAGACATGCATAAATAATAAGACGAATATACAAAACAATATCAACTTATGTTTTAATTATTTAATCTTTATGTAAGGTATTGGTTGAAATGAAAAAGTCAGTGTCAAGAGCGGGGTTCGAACCCACGACCCTCGGCTAAATACGCCTCTGCTCTACCACTTGAACTATCATACTTTCGATCCACCCGGACACCAACTCCCCATCTCAATCTACAACCTTTCGAGTTTTCCCTCCTTTTTGCCATTTTTCAAATGTCGTGTAATCAGGATTGGATTCTCGGCGACAAATGAAATGGCCACGGAGAGCTTTTAGTGAAGATATACTTCGTTTTACTTATTAAATCCATTTTATTTTGTGGTCCGATTGATCAAATAACTTTTTTCAATTAATTAATCTTTATGTTCGGTATTGGTTGAAAAGAAAAAGGTAGTGTCACGAGCGGGATTCGAACCCACGACCTTCGGTTAAATACGCCGCTGCTCTACTATGTCAGCTATCGTGACTTCGATCCACTCGGGCACCAACTTCCCATCTCAACCTACAACCCTCCGAATTTTCCCTTCTTTTTGCCATTTTTTCAAATGTCGTATAATCAGGAAAAAAGTTATTTGGTCAATCGGACCACGAAATATAATAGATTTATATTTTAATATGCGAACATGTACAAACATATAAAACATAACTAAAATCCTAATTCACAAAGATTCATAAATCAAACCTAAATGTACATACGTTACAAACTGTTATCACCATCATTCGACAGACGATCCACACTTCCACATAATTATAAAAGATCTCGTGGATTTCTGTGGTATCGAACTCTGGTGGTCAACCAAACATTCCAACTTCCAACGCATCCAAAGTTTCCAATCAAAAGTCCTAAGAAAAATTGTTAACCTTCCTCATTATATATTAACCTCCATAACATTCCCTTTTTTCCAGAAGTAGGGAAAAACTATTACCAAAAATTCCATCAATCCCTTTCCACACAACCCAATGGCTTGGCCTGTTAGCTCAGTTCCACTACCATCCCAGGTAATCCTCCCCGTCGACTGAAACGCCGATAGCCACCTGAAGCCAAGCCCTACGTAGTGACCAAGAAAATAGCAAAAGTGGTCAGTATTTATTTCTTCTAACGGAGGCTCACCACTGGATGAGTTCTCACATGTTTCCCATGTCAATTTTGTTTTTACAGCATTTTTACCGTTGTAATTGCTTCACACACGTAAAAATCAATAAAAGAAAAAATATACTAAATAAGACCCATAAAACTCAGAGGCGGAAGGAAAATCTTTTTACAAATATATTATAGGCGACATCTAAACTATAATAAATTGCATTTTTTTCAACCAAAAATTACGCACTTCGTAAAACAAAAGTTGTTTATGTTTTTATGATCTATGATAATCCTTCCCACATAATTTTTGAATGCCCAGAATACGAAAATGAAAGAGATAAACTGCTAAAAAATCTGAGCAGTCCCAAACAAACCAATAAACTTAGAATCTGTTCTAATAAGCAACAATCCGTCAGCATTCAACATAATCTATGGATTTTT